CGGCAAACAAATCTCAAAAATCTTTTATATAATCAGATTTTATAACTGAGAACATCAGACACAACAGAATGCTTGTACAGTGTTTGTATTAGATGTTCTGAGTAGAAACTTTAGATGACCATTTTTGCCATTCCTGCCTGCCATCAAAGTCTACTTTAATATCCTGGAGTCCAGCCTTGCCAAGATGCTCAAGATGAGCACCATGGTTCAGGGTCTGGGTCTTCAAAATGACCCTGAATGTCCAGACCATCAGGATCACTTACACTAAGTAACGGTCATTCTGTTGATGAAGAATCAAACTGTAGTGATAAAATATTGTGGATTAACTTCTGATCTGTGAAAGTTTTAATTGCTCTTTAGTTTTTAATTTTGGTTTTAATTATATATCCAAAAGCAGCATAAAGAGTAATGTTTTCTTTTCTTTTTATTGAACAGACACTGCTGAGATAAAGCAGCAAAGATGCAGTTCTTATGCTTCAGCAGAGCTGTCAGACCCTTCAGGTGTCCAAAAGACACACAAAAAACTGACCCTCAGACCTTCCCTGACCATTGTTCTTTCACTCTGTTTTTAAACATGTTTCCAGTGTGTCTTGTTTCGCGACATGTCTACCTGAACCTGTTAAAAGTAGTAATAATTAACCGTGCCCAGATGTAACTATTAGCTTTCAAGGACATCCAAACAAGCGTTTATGGAACCCCTCTGTGTCAACATCCGAGTGTTACAACAGAAGGGAGAATACCATCAGGTGTAGGGATGGGTACCGGTGTCCGGTTCTGACATAAACGGTAGTAACCAGACCGAAAAGCAGCGCACATTTCGGTGCTTTATTTCGGTTTTTTTCCTGAGCTGTGATACACTTCTAGCCAATCATTTTACGTTTCCGAGGATAGTAAGCGGGTCCAGGTACGTACGTTCTTTTATGCAGAGCTACAGATTAAAAATGTCCAAGGCGAAGCGGTCAAAAGTCTGGCTGTACTTCACAGCAAAAGATGCAAACTCAGCAGC